TGCAGCGCTTCTCGGGGCTCTCCTGTTTGGTTATCCCAGCCCTGTCCTAGCCCGCTACAGTGTCCGGGTTTTTAGTCCTCGCAGCATTTTTTTCACCGGCTTCTATTGCCCAAAACACCACGCCGGCTGCCCGTGCCCGCCCGCACGGAGCTGGCCCCCCACGATTGAGGCTGGCCGCAGGAGATGACCCCGCAGGGCGGGCCGAGCCCAGTGGGGAGGAAGGAGGGGGTCCTCGGTCCCCGCCTGCCCCGTCGAGCCGCCCTCCGGCCACTCAGGCCGGTCCGGGCCCAAGGTGCAGGGCAGGCGGCGAGCTGGGGTCGCCGGAGCTTGCCGCGCTCCCGACCGGCGGGAGCCGCGTCCGTCACACACGCAGAGTGGAGATTTTTTAAGTAACAAATGTACTTTTTTATTTTTGAAACAAAAATATCGTTTTCGGCTTAACAATAGCCGGATCTTGCTGAATGAAGCCTTTGCATATTTTCCTGTTTTAATTGGTTGTATAATAAACAGTCCTGACCCCGCACTCTCTTTTCAATGAGTTCAGGGTGAAACGCGGACCATGGGACTGGAAATGACTTTTTCACCACCTAAAACACGGACAAGAATACCAGGAATCAGGCGGTATTAACCTGGCGCTCCAGCCGGGGCGGGAGGGAGGGCGCAAGGTAAGAGCCTTGTGTGTGTCTCCTCACGGAGCACGGCTCTGCCCTGCCTTGCCCACAGCCACCGCCACCGTCGCCTCCCCTCTCCAGGCACGACTAGAGGAGCTGGAGCAGCCCTCCCGGGGTCCCTCAGCACCCGCGCTCCCGCCGGCCCGCAGGCAGAGGGCAGCCGTGCCGTGCTGGCGGGGACAGGCCCCGGTGCCGAGGACTCTGCCACCCTCCGATCCTGGCCAGGGGTTCAAAGGACTTTTGCGGCCTGCGCAAAGGACCTGAGAAGAAGAAAAAGCTGCGGCCGGAGAACATCCCGTGGGGTTGGCAGTGCCCCGGTGGGCCAGAGCAGCAGAGAGTCTGTGGGAGTCCGCTCAGTCTCGGGGAGCAAACCTGGCTCATTCCCCGAGGGGCACGGGCAGCGCTGCCGCTCCTGCAGTGGCAGAGGCAGGCTGCTTCCACGCCCGCTCCGGGCAGGGAGAAAACACCCCTCGCTCTTCTGCTTTCATCTCTCTCCAGCGTTGCATAAACCCGGGGCCGTTCCGAAAGGGCAGTGGCGGCGGCTTAGCGGCCCTGAGGCCCCCTAGCCCGGCTCCGGCTTCCCGGAGCAGCCCCGCGGCCGGAGGAGGCTCCTCGCCAAGGTGCTGTCCCGGAGAGCGCGTCCCGCTCCGTGCAGTATCTCCCCTACCGCCCTTTATATAACGGGGAAAGACCTTACACAACGCGCAAACCCGGCTCTTGCCAAGAGCCCGGCGGTCGGCCGCTAGCTTTTGCAAGGGGTCGATGGGGCTGAGCGGCGGCGCGGCCGGCGGCAGGTGAGACCCGCGGGAGCAGTTGGTGTGGCGGCCCGGGGCGAGAGAATTCTGAGCCGCCGTGAGCACCGCCTGGTCCCCTGACGTCCTTCGTGCACACCGAGCTGCCTGCACGAGGGGTCTGTACAGACCCCTTCTCCTGCCCAGCCCCTGCCGTCCCGACAGTGCCACTGTCCCGGGATGCAGCCCGATCCTACACATCAGCCAGGTTGCCCAGTGGGTTCGTGTGGGACATTCGGTCCCCGCGTGTCGGTGCCTGAGTGTTCGGTACCGCACAGCGCGGTCCGCGGCGGCTCCCCATGGGCCGGTCCCCGCTGCCCAGGCAAGCACAGTGAGCAGAGAGGTGATGGCCGCCCCCTCCCCAGGCCGGCAGGACTGACCGAGAGGCCCGATTGCTCCCGGCAGCGGCAGAGGCCGAGCTGCTGCCGGCAGGACCAGCCCTGCCCCGGGCCACAGCCCGACAGTGCCCGGAGAGCGCGGCCAGGCCAGCCCGCGTTCTCGCCGTGATTTCCCTGTGAAGTTTACATTCAGTACAGTCTCTGTTTATAAAATACAGAAAACGATCGTGAAAACATCCTACAGGCGCGACGGCCGCAGCTGACTCGGGGCCGCGCTGCTGCCGGGGAGCGGCGAGGGGGGCCCGGGGAGAAGGCGATCGGAGCCTCGCCCGACCACAAGCAGCCCGCCAGACAGACAGGGCACCGGCCCGGCCCGGTGAGCGGCCTCACGGCCCTGCCGGCCCGCTCCTTTCCCAAACGCGCCGCTCTCTGCCTCTCCGTGTGGACACAGACGACCATTGGTAAAGCACGGCGGGAACCAGCTGAAAACTTCTCGGGAATCGGAGTAGCCTCGGGGGCCGCACGGCCCCGCCCGGGCCCGGGCTGCCGCCTCCTCCCGCTGCACCTGGCACTGCCAGGTATCGCTTCACCCAAAGCCGCCGAGCCCCAGCCGCTCCCGGGCGCTTCCCAAGAGCGCTGCAGCCCGGCCGAGCGACGGCACAGCCCAGGAAGGAGACCGGGGAGTCGCCGGTGGGCCTGTGCGGGGTCCGGGGCGGTACTCCCTCCCTCCCTTCGCCCCGTGCCCACCTCCAGCGAGGGGGTTTCCCTTGTAGTCCCGACGCACCCCGGAGAAAACTAGCGGGACTGGCAGTACCTATTAAATAAGGAAGAAGCAGCCAAGGCCCTGAGCCCTCCGGTGCAAAGCTGAGATCCCCGAGGCCTGTGAGCGGTGCTCCCTCTCCCCTCCACCGCCCGCTCCCACCTGAGGGGCACGGGCAGGTCCGAGGCAGCGGGCAGCGCTCTGCTCCCACAGAGCCATGGGTGGCAAAGGTGGGAGTCGCGGCCGTGTCCCATGTGCCCCGGCAGCCCCTCCCCGGCCTTTCGCCCCATCGTTACACCAATGTTCGTGTAGAGGCCAGGCTTTCTCTGCAGCCCTTACGCACAGCGCGGAGCGGCCGCGGCACCGTCGCCTCGCAGCGACTCCGCTTGCTGCACCCCTGTGCATCCCTGTCCGGCCGGGAGCGGAGACACTCGGTCGCACCAGCTCTCCCAGCGCTCTCACAGGACAGGGCCTGGGCAGAGGGGCCAGGGGGCACAGCAAGGCGCCCGGGATGGCCCGGTCGGTGCCTCTGGAGCCCTTCTGCCTTGGCCGTGCCCGCCGAGTGGCGCCGCGACAAAAAGGCGACCGGTCCCCACGTCCCCCCACGGCTTTCTGTGGCCGCGCCGGAGGATGCCTCTTCCTCCCCTTCAGGGAGGCTGCAGCAGGCCCTAGTAGAAGGGAAGACCGTCAGACAGCCGGGCAAGGGCCTGGCTGACCCGCGGGTCACGCTGCAGGCCTCCGGCAGCGGACGGGAGTGCTCACCCCCAGCACCGATTTTCGCCCCTGGCAGCCCCTCTTCGGAGCTGCCCACGCGGCCCGGGAAGTGGAACAACGGCATCCCCGCTCCTGCCGCAGAACTGCAGGCCTGGCCCGGGTTGGTGTCCAAAGGCCCCACTGCATCCCGGGCCGGCACCGGGCGAGGGCCGCCCCGCCTGCCCCATCCCCTCCTGACCCCCAGGCGCTCTCGCAGGGGCCGCTGTCCCCGTGGGCTGGCAGGTTTCGAAGCGAGGCCCAGGCCTCTGGAGCGCCGCTGCCGCAGCCACCGGCGCGGCGAGGAAAGAGGGATTCGCCGGCGGCTCCCGGTTCCTTCCCCGGCCGGGGCCCGGATGGGGCACGGGCCGCTCCGCAGTGCTGCCGGGCCCGGGATAACGCGGGGCCAAGCTGCGTGCCCCGAGCAGGCGGGGGAGAAACGAAAGCGGAGCCGGGGTCCGCTGCGCTCATAGCCGCAGGCAGTGTCCGGAGGTCCGCACACACGGGCGAGGTGCCGGCAGCTGCCGCGTCCCAGAGCGGAGGCGCTCCCGTGCCCGCCCGCGCCCACCCCTGTGGAGCCACCGAAACGGTCCCGCGGAGGCCGGAGCGGCCCCGCCGGTGCATCACGGAGCCGATGGAGCGCCCGGGCACAGCCCGCGTGTGCCCGCGGTGGAGCGGCCCCGGGAGCAATGCCCGCCGCCAGGAGCGGGCCGGGCAGCGCCGAGCGGCCCCGGCACACGGCGCCCGCCCCGTTCTCCGCCGCCGCTAACCGATCCCGAGCACGGAATAGCGGAGCGAAATAAAACGATATGGAAAGAAGGAAAGGCATTTTATTGGAGACTTTACAATGCTAGAAAGTACAATAAAAGTGCTAGTTCACTCTAGAAAAGTTGGTCCCAAAATGGTACTATGCCACAGTATCTATCAGCTTACACAAACATTTACAGAATCGCTATGAACTGGCCCCTGATTTATAAACGCTATTTTTTTCACATTACTCTATGTAAAATTGAAGGATCAAAACGTTTTAAGAAAAAGGTCAAGCACTCAAAAGCAGAACCTACTGGAAAATCCATTTTGGGCCAGGTTTGGGGTAAAAAAAAAAAAGATAGTTTAAACTTTCATTCTTAATAATAATATGTACACGGGAAAATATTCTAATTTACAGGAAACCGTCTCTCTTTTTTTTTTTTTTTAATAACATCAAAATATTTTTTTAGACCTTTATAAAATTACTTTTAAGACCTCAGAGGACACTGTCTCCTTTAAAAAACATATTTACCACTGCCGAAACGTTTCACGAGTGACCCTGGCGGGTTTTGTTTGTTGGTTTCTATTAACCAGCAATATCGCATATCTGCTGTTACAGCAGTCCCCACGTTAAGTACTATTTTAACGAAAAGCCACAGCTCGGAAGAAGCGCAGTGCTTTGCAGAGCGAGGAAGAAGACAGAAAACGCGAAGAGTAGGAGGAGGACGAGCACCGCGGGCACACAGTAGTGTATAGGCCCTGCCAGCCCTGCACCGCACTCGTGAAAATGCCTCCGCTATTTACAAGCTCCACTTTACTCTCCCCAAGGCCGAGCCCGGAAAGATTACAGCCGAATCGCAAAGGAGTATAATTTTGAGGGCTAAACAGCTTATTTTTTAATTACATTCCCCCCCCCCCCCGAAAAAAAACACCAAACAAAACCAACAAAAAAACCCAACACAAAACCCAAACAAACAAACCAAAACCCAACCAAAACCAAAACTAACAACTCACAAACGAACACACACATACACACAAGCAGAGAAACACTCGGTGAATCCCCGCTCGCTCGGAGACGGGCGGCCCGGCCGCTGACGCCCGGTGCAGCCCCGCGGGGAAGCCCCCACATTTACACTGCCTTCTTCTCACGGCCGGACGGCTCCTGCACTGACACTACACCCGGGGCGAGGCTGCTATTTACCCACCGCGACAGTTTGGGCAGAGAGAAAGTCCGCAGCTAAGGGACGAGGAGAAGAGACACGAGAGCACAGGGGAACGCGGCGGGATGGGAGAGGGGTAGCGGGGCCGGTGCATTTCTGTGACGGCGGCCGGCCGGAGCCTCCCTAGATGTCTATGCGGGAGTGTAGGGCGCTGTGTTTGCTGTCGTGCTCCCAGTAGGAACAGTGCATCATGGACAGCTCGGTGGGCTGACGGGCGCAGGCAAACTGGAGGCCGGCTCCGTTCGCCGCCGGGGCCGCCGGCGGCGCGGGGCTGGCCGGGCTGAGCTGCTGCGGGTGGTGGGCGTGCGGGTGGTGGTGGTGGTGGCCCATGCCGTTGTAGGAGTTCACCATGCTGGGCAGCGCCATGCTCTGCACCCGCGAGTAGGGGCTGTAGGACGCCGGGCCCGAGAGTCCTTTCACATTGACGGGGCTGACGTTCCCGCCAGACATCTGGCAGGAGGTGTAAGGCATGGGCGCGGGGGGCTGCGCCAGCGGCCACGAGTTGTTCATGAAGGTGGACTGCAAGTACTTGGGCGGGGACAGGTAGCCGTAGCTGTCCGGGCTGAAGAGGGTCTTGCCAGGCTGGAAGTGGGTCGGAGGCGGCCGGAAAGGCCGTTTCATCCTTCGTCTCCTGCGGTAGTTGCCTTTCTCGAACATATCCTCGCAGGCGGGGTCCAGGGTCCAGTAGTTGCCCTTGCGCTCGCCGCCGCCCTCCCGGGGCACCTTGATGAAGCACTCGTTGAGGCTGAGGTTGTGGCGGATGCTGTTCTGCCAGCCCTTCTTGTTCTTCTCGTAGAAAGGGAACTTGCTGATGATGTACTGGTAGATCCCAGAAAGTGTGAGCCTCTTCTCCGCGCTCTCCCGGATGGCCATGGCGATCAGGGCCACGTAGGAGTAGGGGGGCTTCTGCGAGGGGTCCGGCTTCTCGGGGCCCTTGTCCGTGCTCAGCTCCTCCTTGCCCCGCTCCGGCTCCTTGCTGCCGCTGGTGTCATGAGCCAGTAGCGCCACTGTGTCCTCCTCGCCGTCCGGGTAATTGCTCATCATGGTGCCCCGCGTCCGCCGCCCGGGGCGGCCAGCGCAGCGCCGCGCGGTGCCGAGCGCTCCCGCTGCGCGGAGCCCGGTGCCGGCGGCCGTCCCGCCCCGCGCTCGCCGAGATCAGGGTCGGAGCCGGGACCGGGACGGAGATGGGGAGGCGCCTCTCGCGGCGCCGCTGGTCCGTGCAGCGCGGCGGCGGCGGCGTCCCTGCCCCCGCGGGCTCCGCTCCCCTCTGCCGCGGCGGCCGGGCTCTTTTCTGATTTGTATGGGCCCGGCCGAGTTCCGCTTTCGTCAGGAGCCCGCTCCCCTATCGCGGCCGAGCCGCTGGGCACGGCCGAGTTCACCCCGCAGTCACGGCGCCGCGCTCAGCCCCGCGCACACGCGGCCCGACGTGGCCCCGCGGAGCGGCGCGGAACCGCCCCGGCCCCGCCGCGCCGCCGGGGGCGGGGAGGAGGGGGCGGTGTCCGGGGGGTGCTCAGGGAGCCTCCGCCGCCCACCCCGGAGCCTGGTGGGGCCCGCGGCGCTGCGCTCCCCGCCCGCCCGGTGGGTGCGAGGGGGTGTGCCCGCGGCGCTCCCCCGGCCACGGCGGCTGTCATACGTCCAGCCGCACACGCGGCCGCGTTTATATGTCTTGGCCGCGGGCCCCGCCAACCGATCGCTCCCGGAGAGCACAAGGAGGCTGTTGCCTCTCCCTGCAAGTTGGTTCTTGCAGCTCTTATTTGCAGGAGGCAAGAGAGCAAAATGTGTCAGGTTGCCCCTTCTCTCTCCCCGCAAAGTACACCCTAAGAGGCGACTCGAGGGACGGGGCAGGGTGGCGGTGCGGGGGATGACACACCGGGCAGCTTTCCTGATCGTTTCCCTGGAGGGCTTCGTCGTATTTCACACGGTTCCTGGAGCGCCGACATTCCCCCACTCCTTCCCCTTTCCTGCCTTCAGGTAGAGCCTCCCCGAACTGCAGACAGGCCGCCTCAGCTGGCCAGAGCACAAGATTATAATAACATTATAACAAATCAGTAACACGGAGCTGCTTAGACACGGGCACAGTGGCGCGCAGAGGACTCTGCACTGATTTTTAACGGAGCCTTCGGCCCTATCCCCAGGAATGGAGCAGCCTGGCCCCGTTTGACCCCTGAGCCTTTCCACCAGACAACGCGGCCGCCGGCAGCCGCAAGAGTCCGGCCGAACTCCGCAGGGCCGGGACCACCTGCCCTTCCCGGCCCGGCCCCGCTCGGCCCTCGGGGTGCGGCGCTGCCATGAGCCTGGTGCTGCGGGCACGGGTCCGCACGGACCCGACATCCCCTCCCGTACTCAAGCACAACTCGGGCTGCCTAGAAGCGGCCCTGGGAGCATCTGCACGCTCAGATCGGCGCCCGCAGCTCCGCCGGCCGGCAGCTCACGGCCCTCAGACTCGCCCATGCCCTTCTTGAACGTGAACACATTGTTCTCCGCCCCGCAGATTTTACGTGCTACACCAATTTTGGTAACCAAGCATGAGCCCGGGGGGCTGGCAGCTCCCGAACGTGCATGCCGGGTGCAGCCGGACCTCTTCCGTCGGGGCGCCCCGGGGCTTCGATGGCTGATGCGCGGATCTCTAGTTCGTGTGCCTGGCCACGGGTCCACGCTCCCCGCCCCGGGAGAGGCTAATTGGGAGTGAAGGCAGACGAAGATGTAGAAATGTATTTTAACCGAAAAATAAACAAGTCTTTCAGGAAACTCTTATCTTCACATATATATATATTATACTCAGTTAAAACAAGTTTCTACGTCTTCTTCCATGCCCATATAACGAATCCCTCATCTCCCGTCGGCGGAGGAACGCGTGGCCCATAACCCAGGCTCTACGATTTCGGTCACAGAGAGGAGACCCGTCTGTTTCCGCACCCAGCCGCGGAGCAGCGCACGCCGCCCCCAGGCACCTCCCCAAGGCACACAAACGAAACGGCGGAGGGACGAGGCCCGCACGAGAGACCCTCTCCAGGTTTCTCCTCCCCGGGCCACCCCCGGTGGCTCGCCCCTCGCAGGGCGGCGGAGCAGCCGGAGCCAGCTGTGCCCCGCCGCCGGGACGGGGCTGCCGCGCTCCCCAGGGCCGGGGCGAACTCCTTTCTGCCGGCCACCCATGCTGCTCCCGGCGCTCCCCCTCGCAGGCATTTCCGCGGCGAGGGCCGGTGCAGGTGTAACAGCGCTGCTGCCTGTGTCATCACCTCCGCCAAATGGCACATTCCTCCCTTTTCACTCCTAAGCCAGGCGCGTAGCTCCTTACCAGGGCTCGCTCACTCGCTCGCAAAGGACATTTGGCATCCGAGGGGCTTGTTTGGGTTTTTTTGACGGCACGACCAAGGGGGATTTCGGATGAACACGAGGGCAGAAGCTCAACCCAGCGCTGGGAGCGGCGATCGGGCCGAGCAGCGGCAAAGGTGAGCGCGCAGCCCAGTATGCGGCTACTGGAACGTTTGACACCAGGACAGGCAGGAGCCGCCGGGCTCTCCCCTCTCCTAATTAAGCCCTTCATGGGACATGAAAGAAGCACCTGAAAGAGCAGGAGCACGCCCGTGAAGCTGTACCCTACAGCTGCGGTTGAGCGGACAGCTGAGGGCTTTTCGGCACACACAGAAATGTCACAGCGAGGAGGATGCGAGTAACAGGGACGGGCAGCAAACAGGGGAGCGCGGAGATCCCTCTCCGGGACAAGGATCGGGGGATCCTCCGGGAGCGGTGCGATCTGCCAATGCACAAGGGTGAGCCCGCGCCCCGCCGCTCTCGGGACAGGCAGGAACACCCCGGATAAAGCGAGCGCAGGAGGAGTCAGCGGAGCTGCTCCCGACCCGGTCCTGCGGCCGCCCTCGGGGTAGGGGAAGCAGGAGGGAAGCTCGCATGGAGAGGGGCTCACGGCGCCGGTGCCCGTAACCCGGCCCGCTGCGGAGAAGCGGCGCGGAAAGGGCTCTCGCTTTCTTCACACGAGGGCAGAATAGCCCCGTCCCCAGCCCGTCCCCAGTGCAGGGAAGCAGGGAAGAAGGCGGGCAGAGCGGGGCTCCGCTAAGAAGCGCCCCGAGAGGTGCTGCAAATCGGGGCTGCGCCAGTACCGAGCCGCACCGGGTCCACCTTCCCGGTGCAGCACGGATCCTCCACTGCTGCCCCGGGTCCCATATCCCGGCTGGGCAGCGGCTGAGCCCGTAGCGCGGGTGGAACCGCGGAGAGGAGCAGGACACAGCAAGCGCCGGGGGTCTCGTAGCGCCCCAGGGACACCGGGCAGGGCGCCGCCCCCACGGCTGGCCCCGGTAGCCCGGACCACGCTTCCCACGAAAGCCGTACCTTCAGCTGCAGCGCTGATAAGATCCGAGTAGCCCGAGTGGGCTTTTTTTCTACTCACCCTGTGCAGGAAGCAGAGGCGATTTTACCTAGGTCGGTTTGTTTGAAAATGCGGCAGTCTCCCTCTCCCAAAGTTTTTTTGGGTGGGTTGTTTTTTGGGTTTTTTTTTGTTTAGTTTTGGTTTTTTCCGGGTTTTTTTTCTGGGGAGAAAATATGTCTCCGGCGGGGAGCGCCGGAATGCCCCTGGCTCGGAGAGCCCCGCTCCCGTTCGGCCAGCACAGCCGCCGCCTGCAGGCACCGGGGCAGGGCTCCCACCTCCCTCACCAAGACCTGGACAGGGACAGGCGACACAGACCCATTGTCTGTCCTCCGGTTCCTGCTCCGCTCCGGGTGCCTCCCGGGGTCGGACACACGGCTGGTGCCGCCTGAGGACCCACCGCTCGAGCCCGGGCACACTGCGGACGAACCCACACTAACCCGCACTCTTTGGGCTCGTGTAGCAACGACACGGGTGTAAAAGCGGTCCCAGGCGAGCCTTCTTCCGAGTCCCGTTTCCCTGAGGAGCGGGACCCGTGGCGGCGCGGGGCTCCGGGAGCCGCCAAGGACCGGGCGCTCTCGGTCCGCCCTCGGTCCCCGCAGCACCTTTCCTTCATCGGCGCAGCCCCCCAAAGCATCCGGGACAGGGCAGTCAGCATGCTACCGTTTCAAATACTCCCAGTTTCTTCCTTTTTTTATTTTCCCAAGTACTACTAGTCTTTAAGATCGTGGACTATTTACCCCCATAACAAACACAGGAATAGGAGGGTATATGTAAACGCGGCATGCGCGGGTCTGTCCCGCACCACGGCGCTCACGAGATTTAACGAAATGTACTGCAGGAAATAAAATTATCTGGCCTCAATGAAAATTCATCAGACTTAATGTATTAAAAGGTTGAGATGGAGGCGTTTTCCTGAGTTACCTACCCGAGGAACCTCCGAGTTCCCGCGGGTAGAGCAGAACGGAGGTGCCCCGGGACCCGGCGGCTCCAGCCCCGGCAGCCCGGGCTGGGCCGGCAGCTGCCCCGCTTTCTCTACAGAACCCGCTTCGCTCCCTTTCTAAGTGACATCTGGAGGTGCTGTTAGCGGCACAGCATCGACTATCAGAAATATCCAGAGATAATAACCTTTGCAACCTCACTGCAGTCATTACGTGAGACAAAACTGCACGCGTGTCAATCCCTTCAGACCCTAAACTCTGTCTTAGAAAAGCTTGAATTTTTAGAACCTCACCTTCCACTCGGCCTGCAGATCACCTCGCTCACCTAGGGACACCATAAACACAAATACAATCCCACTTTCCCCTATGTTTAGGGTTCCCAGCAGCACAGTCCCGAATATTTCATAAATGCTCTTTAATTTCACTACTCAGTGTGTGACGCCAGAACAAGGAAATATTCACCTGGAAAGTGTCTTCTTCTGCATGAATGAGTCTCATTGTCAAAACCTTGAGCATATATAGGTACGTATATGTTTTGCAGTGGAGAATTTACTTCTCGTTTATACTGTAAAGCTAAAAATTCTGGTAGCTTCAGGCTTGTTTTTACAAGTTCCCCGCTGTACAAGGATTTCTGTTTTTACAGGAAAAACTAAGCAGTCCATCGACCATGATGGCTGTACATCCATAATGTGAGCTTCATGAGGAACAGAGCAACTTTATTATAATCTGGACTGAAATCACATTGAATAAAAGCCCATCTAACAGAGCCTGAGGGGAAAAGTCACAAACAGGCTCAATTCTATACCTAAT